TCCCAGTACATGGACCCATGGAAGTCGCCAGGCCTGCTGCAGTGGCAGACAAGGCCCTGGAGAACCTCCAGCTCACAGGCAAACATCAGGTTGGCCTAGCCTGAGGACTCTTCTGTTCTCTGTCCAAAAACTTTGTATGTGGGGTGTGTGTGTATTCACTGGGGCTTGAACTCAGGACCTAAGTACTGTCCCTTAGCTGTTTTTGTTGTTGTTTTAATCTAAGGCTAATGCTATCACCTGAGCAACACCTCCATTTTGGCTTTGTACTGATTATTTGGTGATAAGAATCTCAGTAATTAACCTGCCCAAACTGGCCTCAAACCATAATCCTCAGATTCTGAGTAGCTGGGATTGCAGGCATGAGCTACCAGCATCCGATTGGAGTCTGTTTTCTGAGGGACTTTAGGCCCTCTCTTGAGTCCAGGGAGAGAACAGCTGCCTACCAGCTCTCCAGCTGTGTAGGATGGGCAGCTCCTGACAGCTCACTGAAAACTGGCAGGTTTGATCAGACAGGTCAGTGTCTCTCTCTGGGGTCAGAGCAAAGTCCTAGGAAACAGGACACTAAAAACATTCAACTGAAAACCTAGCACAAACCACCTTTAATCTTGCTGGACATAGCTAGAGCAGCTCCCATATCAGATATGGCCAAATCAACAAATGGCAAACTCTCCCCTACAATGAGTGACTGCAGCTTAGTCTCAGAATGGAGATAAAAACTGAATGCAACTCCTCCCTCGGCTCAGAAGCTTCAGTGTTTTGTTTTGTTTTAACCAGGAACCTCCAAATGGCTGCCCCTGCCCCCTGGAGTAGATTTTTTTTTTTTTTTTTTTTTGGGTCAGGTCGTGGGGCCTGAACTCTGCGCCTGGACGCTGTCCCTCAGCTCTTCAGCTCAAGGCTAGCGCTCTACCACTTGAGCCACAGCGCCACTTCCGGCTTTTTTCTTTTTGCTTATGTGGTGCTGAGGAATCGAACCCAGGGCCTCAAGCATGCAAGGCAAGCGCTCTACCACGAAGCCACCTTCCCAGCCCTGCCCCCTGGAGTAGAGACCACAGTTCTAGACTTTTATCAGCAACTCCTTCCCTAGTCCCAGGAGATGGTAACAGTGGAGCCTGCTGGTCCCTGCCTCACTAACCTGAGCACCCTCCTATTACAAGACCAATGCAGGTGATAAAGTTTTGGGGGAGACTGATTTTGTTTGTTTGTAGTGATGGAGATGGACCCCAGGGTTTGTGCATGCTAGACAAGAGTGTTCTACCTCTGAGCCACATCCCAACTCCTTTACCATATCTTTTTGTCTGAAGAATTTGAGTCTCAACCTAAATGACAGCCCACTTTTAGAACCAGAAATACTTTTGGGTCTGGGTTTCAATCATTGTGAAACATTTATGCCAGACACTGCAGTTTAATCATTTCTGGGTATTATGGGAGATGTTTGGAAGTTGAGGAAAGAGGAGGAAAGAATAAAAGAAGGCTGGGGAGCTGGGAATGTGGCTCAGTGGTAGAGTGCTTGCCAAGCATGCATGAATCCCTGGTTTCCATTCCTCAGTACCACATAAACAGAAAAAAGCTGGAAGTGGCACTGTGGCTCAAGTGGTAGAGTGCTAGCCCTGAGCAAAAGTAGCTCAGGGACACTGCCCAGGCCCTGATTTCAAGTCCCAGGACTGGCAAAAAAAAAAAAAAAAAAGGCTGGGAAGGTGGCTCAGTGGTAGAGCGCTTGCCTTGCATGGCTGAGGCCCTGGGTTCGATTCCTCAGCACCACATAAGCAAAAAGAAAAAAGCCGGAAGCGGCGCTGTGGCTCAAGAGCGCTAGCCTTGAGCTGAAGAGCTGAGGGACAGCGCCCAGGCCGAGCTCAGGCCCCCCCCCAAAAAAAAGGGAAAGAAAAAACTTCACTGGAGACATAGCTCAAGTGGTAAAGCATCTACTGAGCTCAAGGACTAGAATTCAAGACCTTCACCCAAAGAAAACAAAAGTAGAGCTGATTGCCTTGTTGGCTGACTGCCTGAGAGGGGAGACTATAAACACACAGAACTTCTGCCTTCCATGAGGTATCCTCACTAGAGCAGGAGTTGGGCTGGTCCAGTATTGGAGTGCTCCTGAGCAGAGTGAAAATATCAAACTGTAGATTTTCAGCTGGACTGGAAAATAAGGGCTCAGAGGAAGTGAGCTGCTGGACTGTGTGACACACCTGTAGCCCCAATACTCTGGATGGAGGCATATACTGGAGGATCCTTTAAGCTCCTGAATTCAAGGAAACATAGTGGGACTCCCATCTGAATTTAAAAAAAAAAAAAAAAGGAAAGGAAGTGACTCAGAGAAAAGGGAGGAGGCTACAGTATGTGTTGGGAACATTAGAAAGGTGGAAGAACAGAAGGATCTGAGTGGTCAGATCCTGGATGATGCAATGTCAAGAGGCAGCGCTACTACAATGTGGTGCCAGGGACAGGCATTCACTCATTCACTCAATGAAGGTGAATACCCCAAGAATCAAGGCAGCCAAGGAAGACAGCAAGGGCATCAGATCAACTTAGCATCCACAGTTAGAGAAGGGACTAGGTCTGTGGCAGACCTGGGTAAGGTGAAGAAGATGCTAAGACCAAGGTTGATCAGTCTAGTGAGTTCATACAGTGAAGGAATAAAGTTAAGGGATACCTGTGGCAAGGAGGGGGAAAATGGACTGAGTAGATGACTCAGGAGGAATGTTTATCCAAAGAGGAAAGAAACCATGTCTGGAAGTAGCAATGACAGTAAACATGATGCTGGCCCTGCTGGATCCAATGGCTCCAGCTAAGAACATTCTCTATGGCAGACTATTCCAGGTCTGTCCTCTAAAACCTGTCAGGCCTGGAGTTGGTGGCTCACACCTGTAATCCTAGCTACTCAGGAGGCTGAGATCTGAGGATCATAGTTTGAAGCCAGCCTGGGCAGGATAGTCTGTGCTTCTCTAATTTAAAAACACCAAAAAAATGAAAACAAAAACCGAAGTAGAGCTGTGGCTCAAATGGTAGTGCTAACCTTGTGCACAAAAGCTCAGCCGCAGAGGCTGGGAATGTGGCTTAGTGTAGTGTTTGCCCAGCATGCATGAAAGCCTGGGTTCAATTCCTCAGTACCACATAAACATAAAAAAAAAAAGTGGCACTGTGGCGCAAGTAGTAGAGGACTAGCCTTGAACAAAAGCTCAGGGACAGTGCCCAAGCCCTGATTTCAAGCCCTAGGACTGGAAGAGAAAAAAAAAGTAGCATGTGCGTGCACACGTGCACACACGTACACACACACCTTTATTATTGGGAGTGGGAGGCAGTGTGAGGGTAGGAGGTACAGGCAGGGCTAGAGGCCTATCATGGGAAGAGGGGGCATCAGTTTGTCTGGGTGAAGGCTGGCAAGAACAACGAAGCTGGAGCCTGACCAACTTCATGGCATTAAGGACTATTTCTCTTTTCCAGAAGGTGCAAGAACCAAGGTTCCATGTTATTTGTTGCCCGAGGCACAGGGTTTGGACAGATTCTGGGGAAGGGTGACGTGGCTGGGCAGGCTTTGGAGGCAGGAAGTCTGTGTTCCTGGGGACAGTCGCCTTCTTGGGATTTCTCCTGAAGAAAAAAACAACTGATCTTATCCTCTGGCCTTCCCCAAGCTTAGCATCTACTTGAAACCCTGTATTTCTGAGGCAAAAAAAAAAAGGGAAGGTTTACCCCATGCCAGAACAGATTGGTGGGGAATGAGTAAGAAATCAGCCCGGGATAGGTTGCTTTTACTGCTATTGGCCACCGGCAGTTGTGCCTCTTCTACTGTCCATCAGCACACCCTGGTCCTAGCTCTCCTGAGACCCTCTTCTCTGGAGAAAAGTACACTTGATCTACTATGACCTTCAGTGTCCACAGGAAGCTGTGGAGCTAGGAGGCTGGTGTCACCAGAAAGGAAGTGGTTCAAGGGGCAGATGACTCAGACCTATAATCCTATCTACTCAGGAGGATGAGCTTTGAAGACCAAGGTTTGAAGCCTGCCCACCAAGGATAATCCATTGAAACTCTTATCTCCAAATAACCACAAAAAGGGGCTGGGAGGTGGCTCAGTGGTAGAGCGCTTGCCTTGCATGCCTGAGGCCCTGGGTTCTATTCCCAGCACCACATAAGCAAAAAGAAAAAAGCCAGAAGTGGCACTGTGGCTCAAGTGGTAGAGCGCTAGCCTTGAGCTGAAGAGCTGAGGGACAGTGCCCAGGCCCAGAGTTCAGGCCCCATGACCGGACCCAAAAAACAAAACAAAACCACAAAAAGAAGGGAGAAGAGGCAGGTGCAGGTGGCTCACGCCTGTAATCCTAGCTACTCAGGAGGCTGAGATCTGAGGATCAAGGTTCAAAACCAGCCAAGGCAGGAAAGTCCCTGAGACTCTTATCTCCAATAAACCACCAGAAAACTGGAAGTGGCGCTGTGGCTCAAGTGGTAGAGCACTCGTTTTGAGTTGAAGAGCTGAGGAACAGGGTCCAGGCCCAGAGTTCAAGCCCCATAGCCAAAAAAAAAAAAGGCATAAGTGGAGCTCAGCTCAAGTGGTAGAGTGCCATCCTTGAGGACAAAAAGCCCAACAAGAGAGTACAAGACCCTGAATTCAATCCCCAGTACGAACAACAAGAGGAAAAAAAAGAGGGGAAAAAGAAAAAGGAAGGAGGGAGGGAGGGAGAGAAGAGGGGAGGGAAGAAGGAAGGAAGGAAGATTTGAAGAAAAACACCCTAAAACACTTACTTCCTTCACATTTCCACCCTCCCCAGTGTGGGTAGGCCTGTGTTTGGAAGAACAACCAGTTCAAAGTCGTAAGTACCAGAAATCAGCATGGCCACAGCATGCACGGCCTGGCAGATGGGGGGCAGGCATACCAACAGAGGAGGTGCTGACCCTCCAGACCCCTTTCCTCCACCTTATCCAGGTCCATCCATGCAATTCCATCGTGAGCCAGTTTCTGTCTGCCTCTAACATTAGTCTTGGTTAAACATCAGAAAAGAGACATTTTTACATACTTCTCAGAAATTGGAATTTTATAAAAAGGCATTTTTCTTTTATGTCCATAAAATGATATAATTTTTGCAAGTATAGAAATGTGTCATAAATTATACAGAATGTTCCTTAATTACAGCTCAATGCAACTTGGTACTTTCCTCCCTCCCTAAAAAATGAGAGAGAACCAAAAAAATAATATATATAACTGTATATATATATATTTATATAATATAGACAAACCAAATATGAAAAAAAATCATTTCCTCTTTGGTATAAAAATCAGACTCTCACCTTGAGAGACACACAAACATACATGGTATTGGGTTTGTAAACTGTGTGGCCAAAAGGGATTTCCCTGTCAATACCTTGCATCCCCCACTCCACACCTACCCCACTACAGCCTGGCTCCAGCTCCCACTCCTCTCTAACTCCCCAAATACCAAAGAAGCAGAAAGGATTCTCCTCCCCAAGGATAATTAGGTAGCAACTAACTTGAGAAGTGCCTGACTGGGGGGACAGACAGCAGTGTGGATGACGGAGAGACAGGACAGGCTTTGCCCAAGCGCCAATGGAGCCCTGCTCAGACCAAACTGGGCACTCCGGATCTAAGCCCGTTTGTTGTTGTTATTGTTGTTTTCCCTAAGGAGGGGCTTGCCCTCTTCCTATCACCTCTGCCCAGGGGCTGGGCCTGGGGGTGGAGGGGAGGGACAGGGCCCCCTGCTCACTGGGAGTGAGTCTCCGCTTCAGTCCCACCTCAGGATCCTGGGGTAGGGATGTAAGAAAGTACCAGATGAGGAGGGGGAAGGAAGTGGGGAGGAGGTCTGCTAATGAACTTAGTACTAAAATGAAAGAAAACAACTTATTTTTTTCCTTAGGTAAAACTAAACTTCACACTCAGCTTTAGCTCACTGAGAATGATGGGGACACTTTTCCAGGCTCCAGCCAATACCAGCAGAGCTTAAGGAGTCCAAGAATTGCTATGTGTGCCTTGGGGAAGGGCCGCACTCTACTCTCAAGGTGAGGAAGGCATCAAGACATTTTTTTTTTTCTCGCAACTCCTCTGGCTGACAGTCCCTCCCCCTCTGGTCAGTCCCAAGGGGGGCACTAGTGGCTGGAGGGCAAGCAGCTCCCAAACCACTCCAGCAGGAAGGGGCAGCCCAGTATGTGCTCTCCTCTACCTAGGAGAGTTAAGACACCAATCACAACACAGAAGTCACATAATGCCTCCTCCACTTGCCAAATAAAAAATAAGAAGACAAAACCAAACTGGACACAAACACAAATCAAGGAGACGCACACACGATGAGGGGCTCAGAGGCCCCAGCAGGTCTCTGGCTTCCCGGCATGATACATTCTTTCAGAATTCAGGAACAGGGGCACTAGATCCCCTCTGAGGAACAAGAGTAAAAAAATATAGAGATTATCATCTCCCTGTGGGCTACTGGGCAGGGCAAGGCAGGGGCAGACTCAATCTCAGTTTTTTTGGTTTTGGTTCCACATCTGATCCCCCACTGGGGCTACTGCCTGATACCTGAGCCTCTGCTCGACCCCTGAGGCCCTTTCCTCCCTTTTCCCCAGGCTGGTGAGACCAGCAAGAAGAGTCTACCAGGGAGACAAGAGGCAAGGAATGAGGACCAGCAGTTCCCTTGGTGACCTGCCAGGGCCTTGTCTGCTCTGGTCATGGGCACAAGGTGTCCTGGTCCACGTCTTCACCCTTTGAGGGGCTTCTCAGCCCCACCGCTGGGGCTGCTGGCACTGTCACTTTTCTTCCTTCGTAGGCTCTCGATCCAGCTGCTGCTGGAGCGGGTGGTGAAGCTGGAGAGAGCCAGGGAGCTGAGTCGCATGTTCTTGCCAGACATGATAAGCTCCCCAAAGCCCTCCTGGTGGGAGAAGGCATAGCCGGAGCGCCGGGAGCCAGTGCGGCCTACCCTCCGCATGCAGCGGTGCTGTGCTTTCTGCTTCTTCCTCACCAGCTGGGTGTAGCGAACCTTGGGGGGGGGGGGATCCTCTGTCAGCAGGGCAGTGTCAAACATCACCCTGAGCACCAGGGCAGGCAGCTCCCAATGCACAGCATGCACCCTGAGCATTTGTAACACAGCCCAGAAACAAGTGCACAGTGTTCAAGCCAGAGAGGCTTGTCTGACACACTGTCTCTGTCCTCAAGAGAGAACAGCCAAGCTTCTTACCGTGTCAGAGAGATCTGGCTTCAAGTTGAGCCTGAGGAACCGAAAGGCAACCACAGGCATGATGCAGACCACAGTGGTGAGCACGATGGTGAGCCACACAGTGGGCTGGGCCAGGGTGTTCTGGGCATTCCCTGGGAGGCAACAGAAGTCAGTGGTCTCAGTAGTCATGAAGTGACAGGTGGCTAGCCTCTGAATTCCTCGTTCCTACTTCTGGCAAGTCCACCTCCCCAGCCTCAAAGTCTGTCATTTCTGCCTTCCTTATTTTCTCTGCCCACCTCTTCCTCAAATGGTTATCTCCCTAGCCCCAAACTGTCCCCCACACATCTTAGTTGACAACAAAAGCCCTGGGACAGTGCCCAAGCCCTGAGTTCAAGTCCCAGGACTGGCAAAAAAGTATATATGAGGTCCTGGGTTCAACCTCCAAACCCAAATCAAGAAAAAAAAAATAGAATTCCAAGTTCTTAACCTGATCCATATAGGCTTAAATGGTCTAGGTAAATTCTCATCCTCTGTTGTCCCTCCCCTTCTCCCAGCTTCTGGTACAGAAGCTTCCCTGAAAGCCTTGGCCTAAGGCCTTGTATTGCTGTTTCCTCTTGTGGATTATTCTTCCCCAGAGAACTTTGCTGACTACTATCATCACCTGGTTTCCTACTATGATTTGAAGTCAGTAGAAAACAAAGCAAAGTAGTAGAGAGGGTCTACTAATGAGCCATGCCTCTAGCCCTGCTTTCTTTTTGCTGATTTTTTTTATTTTTTTGGGTCCAGTTGTGGGGCCTGAACTCTGGGCCTGGGCACTGTCCCTCAGCTCTTCAGATCAAGGCTAGCGCTCTACCACTTGAGCCACAGCACCACTTCCAGCTTTTTTCTTTTTGCTAATGTGGTGCTGAGGAATCGAACCCAGGGCCTCAGGTATGCAAGGCAAGCACTCTACCAGAGCCACCTTTCCAGCCCCTTTGCTGATTATTTTTAAGGTAAGGTTTCATTTCTAGCCTGAGAACATGACTAGGCCTCAGTCCTCCTATTTTAGGCTTCCCTTCGTAGCTGAGTGCACGCTACTACATCTAGCTTCCCTCTATTGAAATGGAATCTCACAGACTTTTCTAGTCTCAAACTATGATGCTTCCAATCTCAGGATCCTAAGAGCCACCAATAGCTGGTTCATGGTTTTATTTATTTATTTATTTATTACTTATTGTGCTTATCCTGGGGCTGAAACTCCAGGCCTGGGCACTGTCCTTTAGCTTTTTTGCTCAAGGTTAGTGCTCTACCACTTGAACCATAGCTCTACTTCCGGCTTCTGGGTGGTTAATTGGAGATAAAAGTCTCATGCTTGGGGCTGGGAAGGTGGCTCAGTGGTACAGCGCTTGCCTTGCATGCTCAAGGCCCTGGGTTCGATTCTTCAGCACCACATAAACAAAAAGAAAAAAGCCGGAAGTGGCGCTGTGGCTCAAGTGGTAGAGTGCTAGCCTTGAGCTGAAGAGCTGAGGAACAGTGCCCAGGCCCAGAGTTCAGGCCCCACGACCGGACCCAAAAAAAAAAAAAGTCTCATGCTTGCTCTGACGGACTATCCCTGGCCACACCACTGGCAGTGTCTTGATGACCATGAAGCCTGGCAGCCCTGACCTCCCAAGGCCTGGCAGGGCCATTCAACACGTTCATAGATGTGGAAGTTCTTTGGGGGCAGGGTCTGATTCAGTTATACCTTGACATCCCCACAACACCTTGTAGAGTGCCTGGCACATATTGATAAATGCTTGTGATGTGCACACTGGTGGACTACCATGCTAGCTCTAGAACACAGGGACTTACCCACAAACCGAAACTGGTTTGGAAACATGTCAAAGAGCCCATTGCTGTGCATGGCAAAGAGGATGGCAAAATAAACAGCAAGGCTGCCCCAGATGAAGAAGTGGTTGATGGCAGTCCAATAGCCTGTATCCAGCCCAATCTGCAAAAGCAATTGTCACCAATAAAAGCACCCCAGAGAAACCATGCCTCTCTTCCAGCAAGACCTTCCAACAGGGAGCCCTAGAGATAAAAGGCTCCCTCTTTCCAAAGGAAAAGGCAGCTTCTGGCAGCCTCATACCTGCACACTGACCACAATAACCAGTGATGTAGCCACAGTGACCGCAAAAGACTGGTAGTCGGCCAGCTGTGTGCCATCGTCCCGTGTGGCTTCAGCAAATACTCCATAGGGGATGAAGAACATGAGCACAGAGGTGTAGATGCCCTGGGCAATGCAGATGAAGAACTCCCGTTTGTTGAAAAGGAGGTTCAGCTGGCCTGGCTCATATAGCTTAGGGTACTCCATGCTCCGCTGCTCTGGAACATCCTGTGTAGAGACCAGTGACAAAAGAGGCCTTAGGGACTGCTCCTCTTTCCCAAAGTCTTTAACAGTGAGAACCAACCTCAAGTCAGCTTCTCCTACTCAATCTGTACTCTGTTACCTCAGGAGTTATGAATTCTGGAGCTGCTGACATGAAGAGCTTCCCTATCCCCTCCTCTAAATGAACTGCTTTCATGATGACCATGGACACTGGGCACAAGTGCCACGCACCCACTACATCAGTCTGACACTTTTTCAGCAATGTTCTCCCCTTCCTGCTTGGTCATGCAACTCCCCCATACCTGATCAAAGACTCCCATAGCCAGGACCGGGAGGGAGGTATACACAATGTTATAAAGAGTGATGAAATACTGGTCATACACAGTCTAGAAGAAACAGAAGGCAAGGGAGGAATGAACACCATACATGAAGTCACAGGGAGAACACATATAACATGTAAGGAATTTGGTTTTTTTCTTTCTGGTCCTAAAAACTGTTTTTCTTTTTTTTTTTTTTGTAGTTGGTATTGAGGTTTGAACTCAGGGCCTTATGCTCAGCCAATATTCTAACACTTGAGCCACATCTCCAGCTCTACTTTTTCCTGGTGATTTTAGAGACAATCTCACAGACTTTTTTGCACAGGCTGAGTTTGAACTTTAATCCTCCCAGTTTTAGCCTCTTGCATAGTTAGAATTAAGACACATAAGCCACTGATACCCAGCATTTTGGTTTGTTTTTGAGACAAGGTCTTCTATGTACCCTTGGCTGAAGTGGAACTCAGGATGGACTCGATGATCCTCCTGCTGCTTCAGCCTACCCAAGAGCTGGAGTTACATACTTACACCACCACATTGGCAAAGAATTTCCATGAGTTCCCTCTCTATTATCAATAAACAGCTAAAAATATATATTATATACACCAAACTAAAGAACTGGGCAGTGAACAGGTGATACAACTCTGCCCTTAAAGAGCTTACAAAGATACAAAAACACTCGCTACCTGGGCCGAGAAGCCGCAGAAGAAGCCAAACCAAAAGTGGACCATGGTAAAAGCGAAGTTCTTATAGAAGAAATAGCAGAGGAACTTGCACATGCGCAGGTAGGACCAGCGACCATGCACCAGCAGGAGGCGCTGCAGGAACTTGAACTGAGAGAAGGAGTAATCCGAGGCCAGGACAGCCTGGATCCCTTCCTGGCCGCTGATACCCACACCAATGTGAGCTGCTGCAGAGACAAGAGATGATAAGAAGGTGAAGATGGCCCACACATTTCAGATTCTCCTCCCCCTCCTCTTCCCCAGATCCAGAGACCCCAGTGGCAGTGCTGCTGCTCATGCTCCACCTACACACCTGCCAATGTACACTCACTTGTTTTACTTTTTTTTCTTTATTGAGATTTAAGTGATTACACAAATTTCGCAGTATTGTGGGACAGTGATACTTAGCTAAAGTCACAAACAGATTTTTTAACCTTCACAAGGTGCATTGTCATTATCATGGTCTATAAAGCTTATGAACTCTACAAACTTCAACACTACAACTATTTCTTCCAAATCGGGTGATATGTACATTTCTTTCCTTTTGCTTAGTGTAAACTGTTTCCTCTCTCTCACATTCCCTCCTTCCCGTCGCTGTCCTTCAGTTGCTAAGTTCACTTTCATCAATGTCCAGTTCAGGTACACACTCACTTTTGATCATGCTGACATCATTTGCCCCGTCTCCAATGGCCAGGGTCACAGCCTTTTTATACTTCTTAACCAGTTCCACCACCTGTGCCTTCTGCAAGGGGGTCACCCGACAGCAGATGACAGCTTTGCAGGCACACGCTGTCTCTAGAAACTCCACCTCCATGTCTGCTTCCAGTGCATGGGCCTAGAACACACAGAGACATGAGAGTCTCAGCACCTCTGTTCTCTTGAGGATGACAGCCCTCTCAGCAGTCAGGCAAGTTGAGAGTGAGACAAGACATAAAGCTATTCTGATGCCGGGCGTTGGTGGCTCAACCCTGTAATCCTAGCTACTCAGGAGGCTAAGATATGAGGATCATGGTTCAAAGCCAGCCCAGGCAGGAAACTCCGTGAGACTCTTATCTCAATAAACCACCAGAAAACTGGAAGTGGTGTTGTGGCTCAAGTGGTACAGTGCTAGCCTTGAGCTGAAGAGCTCAGGGATAGCGCTCAGGCCCAGAGTTCAAGCCCCACGACCACCACCACCAACAGAAAAAGCCATTCAGAGAGAAACACTGTAGAGGGGAAGGAACCTGCCCACATTAAGCATGGTGGCCCTTACCAGGCTGTGACCGTTGATGACCAGAGCATACTCCCCAGCAACAGCCTCCAGGACAGACGTGAGCTTGGAAGAAGAAAGCTTCTCCTGATACGTGAAACCATTGCCTACAGTGCGAGATGAGTCTACCATTTTCTCCCGGGCTTTCCTGTGAAGGGGGATGAAAGTATGGGGGTCCCAAAAACAGTAGCAAGAAGTTGAGAATGAAACCTTGGCAGGGTCCAAAAACCTCTGCTCAGGCTCTGGGTACAGCAGGCAGCTTCTTCCTCCCTGGGGCCTCTCATTTACCTGAGTTCTTCTCGCACCTCCAGCACAGTGTGGCCTGTGACTACGAACACCTCTGTCATGTCATCTGTTAACATCTTGCAGGAGTAGCCAATGTTCACAGCTGTCTCTACCAAGAGAGAACGCAGGAGCTACGGGCAGGTATCCGACAAGGTCAGTATACTCTCCCGCCTGATGGCATGGCTCCACACAAGAGTCTGACACGACCACTGCACACATGCCATTTCCTCTGCCCTGCTGGACTCTCACCTTGTTTGTCTCCAGTTAACACCCAAATCTTGATGTTAGCTAGTGTCAGAAGTGCGATGGTCTCTGGAACCCCCTGCTGAAGCTTGTCCTCAATGGCTGTTGCACCCAGCAGCTGAAACCACCACAAAGACTCATGGAACGAGAGTGGCAGGCACTGGCCCTCCTTGCCCACCCTCAGCCTACTGTAGCCCTCACCATCAAGTCATTCTCAACCTCTTCATAGATGCTAGCCAGTCTGTCTTCCCGGCTGTCCTGGGCGAGGCTGGCTTGTAGCCGTCTCTCAGCCCATTCCTCATAGTATTCTTCATCCAGATCCTTGTAGGCCAGCACCAGGGTCCTCAGTCCTTCACCTGCATATTCCTGGGGACAGAGCAGTAAAAGTCACACCTAAGAAAGTCTAGAGAGGGGCTGGGAAGGTGGCTCAGTGGTAGAGCGCTTGCCTTGCATGCCTGAGGCCCTGGGTTCGATTCCTCAGCACCACATAAGCAAAAAGAAAAAAGCTGGAAGTGGTGCCGTGGCTCAAGCGGTAGAGCTCTAGCCTTGAGCTGAAGAGCTGAGGGACAGCGCCCAGACCCAGAGTTCAGGCCCCATGACCGGACCAAAAAAAAAAAAAAAAGAAAGTCTAGAGAGCTAATAATGTATAGCATGAGGACCACAATTAAAAGTTGCTTAAAAGCTGGGCGCTGGTGGCTCACACCTGTAACCCTAGCTATTCAAGAGGTTGAGATCTAAGGATCATGGTTCAAAGCCAGCCTGGGCAGGGAAGTCCAAGAGACTCTTATCCCCACTTAAACTACCAGAAAACTAAAAGTGGCGCTGTGGCTCAAGTGGTAGAGCACTTGCCTTGAGCAGAAGAGCTGAGGGATAGCACCTAGGCCCAGAGTTCAAGCCCCATGACCCACCAAAAAAAGAAAAAAAAGTTGCTTTAAAAAAAAGGAGGGGGGAGTGTAGTTGTGGAAATGGGAGGGAAGTGATGGTAGGGGAAAAACAAAGGAGGAGGCAACAATGCTTGATAAAAAATGTACTCATTACCTTGCTCATGTAAATGTAACCCCTCTATACAATATTTTCACAACAAAAATTAAAAAAAAAAAAGCAGGGTACCAGTGGCTCATGCCTGTAATCCTAAGTACTCAGGAGGCTGAGACCTGAGGACTGCAGTTTGAAGCAAGCCAGGGCAGGAAAAGTCCATGAGACTCTTATCTATACTAAACTACCAAAAAAGCAAGAAGTAGTAGGGTGCTAGCCTTGAGCAAAAAGAAGCTCAGGGACAGTATCCAGACCATGAGTTCAAGCCTTAAGATCACTGGAAAGGCCAAACACCAGTGGTTCATGTCTCTAATCCTAGCTACTCAGGAAGCTGGGATCTGAGGATACTGGTTTGATGCCAGCCTAGCAGACAAATTGAAGAGACTCTTATATCCAATTAACCAGCAAAGAGCCAGAAATAAAAGTGTAGTTTAAGTATCTGAACACCAGCCTTGAGTGAAAAAGCTAAACAAAAGCATGAGGCTCTGAGTTCAAGCCTCACTACTAGCATGCACACACACAGACACACAAACACACACACACACACACACACAAAGTTGCTGAAAAATTTAAGTGTTCTTACCATAGAAAAGGTGACTATGAGATGGTGATGTGTTAATTCACTTCAATAGAGTAACCACTACTATATATATCAAAATATCATATTATATAACGTAAATGTATTCAGTAATATACAACACATCCCCCCAAAATCATGCCCTGCTGGGCACCAGTGATTCACACCTATTAGCTACTCAGGAGTCTGAGATCTGAGGATCACAGTTTGAAGCCAGCCTCGGCAGGAAAGTCTGTGAGTTTCTTTATCTCCAGTTAACTACCAAATAGCCAGAAGTAGAACAGTGGTTCAGGGGTAGAGCACTAGCACACAGGCACCAGATTCTAGGTTCAAGCCCCAGAACTAGCACTGGCACACGAGCACACATGCACACACAGAGACACATATGCACACACAAACCAAACCCTGTCTTTACTCCCAATATTACAAGCCACAAGAACACTAGGCAGGCCCTCCTTTTCTCACACCTACATTCAGGTGGTCAGTAGTGCTGTTGAGTAGCTCCTGGGTGGAGGGATGGAGTCGGTCAAGTAAGATAGTGTCAGCGCCTTTGCAGTAGAGTCGGATCTTCCCCTCTGGATTCCGCACTACAAATGGGGCAGGGGAAGAAAGTGCAGAACAATTCAGGCAGGCAGATTCCCAAACTAAACCCATCAACAAGAGTTCTCCAGCATAGCTTACCCCTGCAGCCCTGGCCTCACCTATAACTGACATGCGCTTGCGGATATTGTTGAAGTCCAGGATGGCCAGTAGCTGATAGGTGATGGCTGTGCCCATCTCATGGACGGTGATGGTTTTGGGAGTACGAGAGCGGAACACAAAGCCAAAATTCCTGGCTGCAGTGACCAGGGCCCCCTCATCCGGGGACTGGGCTTTGTAGTACAACTCTCCTGGGGGAAAAGAATACATACAGGTTAAGTGGCCACATTTCCAGCCGTGCACTTCACCCAGGAGGCCCCAACCCAGCAGCATTGCTGAGCAGACTCAAGAGCACAAATTAGGCTGAGGCTGAGTTCAAACTAGCTCTTCAGCTCACCTTCATTCTTTTCTTCTGACATGACAGTATGACAAAGGGAAAGAAGGCGGAAGAACTCATGTGTGTGTGGGTCTCCCATCTTGACAGCCTCCAACAGATTTGGGTCCCAAAATAAGAACTTCTTATCAGCCAGAGGATTAAAAGAGAAGTCAACAGGTTCAGGCCTCTGGAATGGGTAAGAAGGCTCTTAGGAAAGGTTAGATCATCAGGCTACATACTAAGAAAGTAGCTATCCTTGCCCTCCTACCACTCAGTGTAGGCTATTCCTGCCCAAGAGCCTGACCAATATGGGCCTCAAAATCCCATATTCTTTTACTTTTCTTTTGGAGACAGGGTCCTGTTATGTAGTTCAGGGAGGTCTGGAACTGGCTATCTAGCCCAGGCTATCCTCTGTCAGAAGTGCTAGGATTACAAGTATGTGCTACCATGCCCAGCAAAATTTCCAGTTTATTTTGAGTGCTGATCCTAGGAACTTGAACTCAGGGCCTGGGTACTATCCCTTTTTCAGTCAAGGCCAGCATTCTACCACTTGAGCCACATCTCCATTTCCTGCGTTTTGGTGGTTAATTGGAGATAAGAGTCTCACAGATTTTCCTGCCCAGGTTGGGCAGATCCTCAGATCTCAGCCTTTGGAATAGCTAGAATTACAGGTATGAGCCACTGGCACCTTGCAAAAATTCCCACTTCTGTTCTTCCTTAGAATATCCATTTTTCTAAGCAACTTCCATTTCCTCCCCAGGTAACATCACCTATTTAGATCAACTGTTACTGATCAGATACCCTATGTTTGACTGGCACATGGAATAAATATGAACTCTAGATCTTACCTTTCCTAATTCAGCTTTGTGTCCCAAGACATCAAACACATCACCTACACACAGATAAGAAGGAGAAGCAACATCAGAGTTGGACATCCTTAGAATGGTAAGGAAAGCCTCTAATATATATACCTTCCAGGTATTTGGAACCCCCAGCCCTATCAAGTAGACATCACCTACACTCACAGACCCTTAGATCCCAGAACCCAGGATCCTAGCCAGCAAAAAGCCAGGTTGCCATTGCTCCCGACAGCCGCCCCCACCACTTCTCAGCAGCTCTCCCTCAGGGAAGCCCCAATCCTTCACCTCCCTACCAGGGCTCCCAGCCCTCCTTTGGGCCTAGCCATAAATGTAGCCTCACACAGTGGCCATGAGGTCCAGGTTAGTGCAAAAAGCAGTTACCAGGGGACTCACACGGGCACAAAGGCCAGCTCACACACTGTGCCCCAAGCCACCCCCACAGCTCAGCCACAGGCCACTGCAACAGAGCCACACTGGCAAGACCATGGTCACATTACAGAGACTCACAAAGGCCCTGAGCAGCAACAAGGGGAGAGTCTAGCACTCCATGGGGCAGCCAAGGATGCCCCGAGGCCAGCGTCTTGGGGTTCACTTCAAACAGCCAAGGAGTTCCCTGGTGGAGCTGAGACCAGGGCAAGAGCACGAGGGAAGATGAGGGGAGGACAAAAGGACTCTGAGTACTGCCTTCAGGCCAGGATACTCAACAGACACTTTCAAGGACCCTCAGACCTAAGTAGGAAAGCTGGACATGGTGGTGCACACCTATAATGCCAGCATTTGGCAGGCTGAGGCAAGATTGTAAGTTTGTGGCTAACCTGGGCTACAGAGTAAAGCCTGTCTCAAAAGACAGGAGGAAAAAAAAAAAAAAAAAAGCCGGCATTGGTGGCTCATGCCTGTTATCCTAGCTACTCAGGAGGCTGAGATCTGAGGATAATAGGTTCAAAGCCAGCCCAGGCAGGAAAGTCCTTGAGGCTCTTATCTCCAATTAACCACCAAAAAGCCACAAGTGGAGCTGTGGCTCAAGTGGTAGTGTTAGCCTTGAGCTAAAAAGATCAGGGCTAGTACCCATGGCCCTGAAGTTCCAAGCCCCAGGGCAGGCACACGCGCACGCACGCACACACACACACACACACACACACACACACACACACACACACACACACGAAAAAAACAACTAAGTAAACAAGGCTGGAGTTCAAGACCCAGTACTAACACCAAAAAAAAACAACAACAACAAAAAAAAAACAAAAACAAAAAACACTTGGGAAAAAATTGTCAAGACAACTGTGGTAGCCCCAGCTCCACTGTCCTTCCAGCAGACGGGAGCCCCAGTCCCCCGTGACACTGCCGGGGAGCCCCAGTCCCCCGTGACACTGCCGTACCGTAGCTGCGGCCATTGATGGAGCATTTGTTGAAGACCATGATGTTCTGGGTGAGGGTGCCCGTCTTGTCAGAGAAGATGTACTCCACCTGGCCCAGCTCCTCATTGAGTGTGGTGGTGCGGGCCTCAGCGGGTGTCCGCTTCTTCATGCAGAACATTTTCTTGTCCCAGTTGATGAAGTAGCTGTGACCCAGCCGGATGACTTCCACACTACACAGAACAGGAGGGAAGGCTTAGGATAGGAGGGGAGGAGGGGCCCCACCCACCTAGGCCTTGGCTGCAGGCCCTCCACCTGGGGAGAAACAAAAATGGAGACGACACCTGGGCACAGGAACCTGGGTGGGTACGAGCAAGGAGAGCCTGTGGGTAGAGCCGGCTGTGGACAGCGAGCAAATGAACTCCCGACCCAACCCTCCTGACACTCTCTCCAGACAAAAAGGTGCACAGGGCCTGGGCAGGCAGGACAGACGGCACGGGCTAAGAGGAAAGGGACTGCAGACAAGGCACTCAACCAGCTCTTACCTCAGGACTAAATACAGAAACCATGCAGAGAAAAACAAGAGAAAGTGCAAAGGAGGAGGGGAGAGAGAAAAAAAAGAGAGAGAGAAATAATGAGGGTACTGTGCACACCACAACAACACAGATGCCACCTCAAAGGGGCTGTGCTGGAGGAGAAAATCAAGAAGGCTTGGCAGCCCACTCTCCTCATTGCCAACTCAGGCAGCACACTCTCTTTTCCCCCTGGGCTGCAGCTCCACAACCCTGACTGTAGCAAAGTGGCAATGCTGACTCCAGAAGGGAGAGGCGCCTCAAGAAAGTCACAAAGAAATGGTGCCTTCTGCCTCTCCCGTCTTCTTTGCTAGTCATCCCTTTTGGAATATGGACTGTTAGTGTTCCCAGAAAGGGCTCTGTGTTTTGGTCCAAAACAGCTAAGCAATTGGGCCACATCTGGTAACTTGTTTCTGATGGAGCTGAGGCCCCTGCGAGAATCCTACTATGAGGCAAAACACGCCATAGCTGGAAATGTCATCATAGCCTTTCCCACACAACTTATCAACCCTTCTCCCAACCTCCTCCACATACACACACTGTAACCTGATGAGGCAGAAAGATAACTTTCTTAGGCAGTTACCAAGACTTCCAGTGAACTTAGATATAAGAACAGAAAATAAAACAAGAACAGCAAAACCCCAAACTCGGAAAAGAAAATTAAACTGTGAGAAAAAGGTAAATAACATAGAACCAGTTACAATATTGCTATCATCCAATGTTTGTAATTATTTTTCTTCAAACATCCATAAAGCACTTCCTGAAGAATGTCACAGATTGAACAGGTGTGTTGGGTACTCCTATAATTCTGACTATGCAGGAGGTGAAGATCAGAAAGATCATGGGCTGAGGTCAGCCTAGACAAAAGTTACCAAGACCCCATTTCAATTAACAAGACAGCTATGGTGGTTTACATCTGCCATCCCCACTACATGGGAGATCATAGGTAAAGAAAATCTAGGTCGGGGGGCAAGGAATATGCTTAGTGGTAGAGTCCTTGCCTAGTATGCATGAAGCCCTAGTTTTGATTCCTCAGTACCACATAAACAGAAAAAGACAGAAGTAGCATTGTGGCTCAAGTGGTAGAGTGGCAGCCTTGAGCAAAAGAAGCTCAAGAACAGTGCCCAGGCCCTGAGTTCAAACCAGAGGATTGGCAAAAATGGAAAAAAAAAAAAAAAGGAAGAAAAAAGAAAATCAAAGTCAGGCTAGGAATGTGGCCGAGTGTAGAGTGCTTGCCTAGCATGAAGCCCTGGGTTTGATTCCTCAGTACCACATCCACAGAAAAGGCCTGGGCACATGAAACATAAATAAAAACCAAGTAAGTAAAAATCTGGGAATGTAGCTCGAGTGGTTGAGTGGCTGCCTAACAAGCATGAGGCCTTGAGGTCCAAGCACAGTACCACCAAAAAAAAAAAAAAAAAAAACATTTAAAAAAAGGGCTGGGAATGTAGCATAGTGGTAGAGTGCTTGCCTAGCATGCATGAAGCTCTGGGTTCGATTTCTCAGTTCCACATAAACAGAAAAGGCCACGAGAGTGTTAGCCTTAAGCAAAAGCAGCTCAGGAATAGTGCTCAGGCCCAGAGTTCAAGCCACAAGAAAGGCAAAAAAAGAAAAAGAAAATGAAGGTCCTGGATGGCTATGGACAAAATAATGCAAGAGGGCTGGGAAGGTGGCTCAGTGGTAGAGTGCTTGCCTCTCATGCATGAGGCCCTGGGTTCTATTCCTCAGCACCAGATACACAGAAAAAACCATAAGTGGATGCTGTGGCTCAAACAGTAGAGTGCTAGCCTTGGGCTGAAGAGCTCAGGGACAGTGCCCAAGCCCAGAGTTGAAGCTCCACGACTGACAAAAAAATTAAATAATTATCATAATAATGTAAGACCCATGAAAAATAACTAAAGCAAAGCAAAATAAAGTTCAAACAAGGTACCAATGGCTCATGCCTACAATCCTAGCTAGCCAGGAAGCTGAGATCTAATGTTCAAAGGTATCCTAGGCAAACCATGAAACTCTTTTTTTTTTTTTTTGCCAGTTGTGGGGGCTGAACTCTGGGCCTAGGCGCTGTCCCTCAGCTCTTCAGTTCAAGGCTAGTGCCCTACCACTTGAGCCACAGCACCACTTCTGGCTTTTTTCTGCTTATATGGTACTGAGGAATTGAACGCAGGGCCTCATGCATGCAAGGCAAGCACTCTACCACTAAGCCAACTTCCCAGCCCCAACTATGAAACTCTTATCTCCAATTAACCACCAAAAAGCTAGAAGTAGAAGTATGCCTCAAATGAAATGGTGCCAGCCTTGAGTGAAAGAGCTAAGAGAAAGTACCCAGGCCCTGAATTCAAGCCTCAGAACCAGTACAAAGGAATAACAGGGTTGAGGGCATCATTTAAGTGGTAGGGCACTTGCCTAGTAAGTAAAAAGCTAAGTTCAAATCCCAGTACCCCCTATAAAAAAAAAAAAGAAAAGAAAAAAAACACAGGCTGAGCCACACATGGTGATACACATCTGTAATCCCAGCACTTGGGAGACTGAAGAACACTGAACGGTCAAGGCTAGCCTGGGCCACAGTGAGACTTTGTTTTAAAATAGAACAAAAAAAGTCAGGCTTTCTTATCTCACATGCAAGGCACTAAGTAGGAAAGAAAGTTTCTTTCTTTTACATTCTTCCTTCTTCTCTCTCCTCCTCCTCCTCCCTTCATCCTAATTGGTGTCTTTACTGTTAAACACTTTCTGTACTTAAAACATCCTAGATGTCCTGTTGTTCCTGTTTATGCTATAATATATACCACTGCCAGTCAACACTTCCTCGATTTGTCCTTAGTCTTTTTTTTTTTTTCTAGCCAGTCCCAGGGCTTGAACTCAGGGCCTGGGCACTAGCCCTAAGCTTCTTTTTACTCAAAGCTAGTAGCTAGTAATCTACCACTTGAATCACAGTGCCACTTCTAGCCTTTTTTTTTTTTTTTTTTTTGGTCGTAGGGCTTAAACTCTGGGCCTGGGCGCTGTCTTCAGGCTCTCCAGCTCAAGGCGAGCATTCTACTGCTTGAGCCACAGTGCCACTTCCAGTTTTCTAGTGGTTTATTGGAGATAGTCTCAGGACTTTCCTGCCCGGGTTGGCTTCTAACCAAGATCCTCAGATCTCAGCCTCTTGAGTAGCTAGGATTACAGGCATGAGCCATCAGCGCCCAGCTTTAGCCTTTTCTGTTTATGTGGTACTGAGGAATCAAACCCAGGGCTTCATGCATGCTAGACAAGCACTCTGCCACTAAGCCACATTCCCAGTTCCTGTCCTTAGCGCCTTTAATGGGTGTGTGTGAGGAGGGAGGAGGAGGGGGTACTTGGGCTCAAACTTAGAGCCTTGATATCTTACCCGGCTTTTTTGCTCAAGGCTGGAGTTCTACTGATTTGAGCCACAACTCCACTTCTGACTTTTTGTTGGAGATAAGAGTCTCACTGATGTCTCTTCCCTAGGCTGGCTTTGAACGTGGATGCTCAGATTTCAGTCTCGAGTAGCTAGGATTACAGGCATGAACCAACCACATCTGTCTTTTCTTACATTTCTATTTTTATTTTTATTGGTGGTGGGGCTTGAACTCTGAGTCTGGGCACTGTTCCTCAGCAATTCAGCTCAAGGCTAGCACTCTACCATTTGAGGCCACAGTGCCACTTCTGGTTTTCTGGTTAGTTGGAGATAAAGTATCTCATGGACTTTCCTGCCTGGGCTGGCTTTGAATTATGATCCTCAGATTTCAGCCTCCTGAGTAGCTAGGATTACAGGCATGACCAATTGATGCCAGGTCTGGTCTTACTTTTTTTTTTGCCAGTCATGAGGCCTGAACTCTGGGCCTGGGCATTGTCCCTCAGCTCTTCAGCTCAAGGCTAGCACTCTACCACTTGAGCCACAGCGCCACTTCTGGCTTTTTTCTTATGTGGTGCTGAGGAATCGAACCCAGGACCTCATGCATGCAAGGCAAGCGCTCTACCACTGAGCCACCTTCCCAGCCCCTGGTCTCACATTTTTAAAGAATACATTCTTAAGATTTCTTTTTGGTTCAGGAGCCTAGTACTGAGTTTTAAACTTAGGGCCTTTTGTTCTCATCAGGCTTTTTCAAACTCAGCTAGCACTCAACCACCTGAGCTACTACTCCACTTCCAGCTTTTTAGTTAACTGGAGATAAGAGTTTCTGGGATTTGTCTGCCTTGGTTGGCTTTGAGCCAGGATCCTCAGATCTCAGTCTCCTAAGTAGCTAGGATTATATGTGTGAGCCACTGGCACCTAGATAATTCTTTAATTTTTTTTAAACCTTTCATAGATTACCAAGCCCCGTGCCCATAGATTCAAGGCCTTCCACAATAATGAACAAGCTTCCATTTCCAGATTGCTCTGCCATAGCTCCAGTAATGGTCCAAGCACCTGTGGAACTGGCTTTTACCTAGGCATTCCCAGACGGCCACTTCCTTGCCTTTGTTCCCAATTCAACTTTCACCCACCCCAGTACAACTGCAACCTTTTCTCAATTGTTGTTCCTGATTAACTGCATGGGAGCAATGCTCTTCCAGCCCCTATGTGCTTGGTGCCTCTGGTATAGAGTCTCAGGATGATACTGCTCTTAGTAGAGGCCACTTGACACATCTAAGTGCTCCTGTTTTCCACAGAAAAGTCTAAGTGGAATGACTTTTTTTTTTATGTACATGTGCTGGTATCAGGATTTAACCTCAAAACCTCACACTCTCTTCTTTTTTCTTTTTTTCTGTCAGTCGTAGGACTTGAACTATGTGCTGTCCCTCAGCTCTTCAGCTCAAGGGCAAGCGCTCTACCACTTGAGCCACAGTGCTACTTCCAAGACCTCACACTCTCACTAGGCTTTTTCCACTCACAATTAGCACTCTATCACTTGAGCCAAGCCTTCAGTGCAGTTTTTTTTCTTTTTCTTTCCTTTTTTTTTTCAGTCATGGAGTTTGAACTCTGAGCCTGGGTGTTGTCCCTGAGATCTTCAGCTCAAGGCTAGCACTCTACCACTAAAACCACAGCACCACTTTCAGTTTTCTGGTGGTTAATTGGAGGTAAGTGTCTCACAGACTTTCCTTCCTGGGCTGGCTTTGAACCTCAATCCTCAGCTCTCCTGAGTAGCTAGGATTACAGGCTTGAGACTCTGGTGCCCAAATCTCTTTGCAGGCACGCATGTGTGTGTGTGTGCTGGTCCTGGGTGTGTGTGTGTGTGTATGTGCGCGCACGCTGGTCCTGGGGTTTGAACTCGGGGCCTATGTACTACAACGAGCTTTTGTATTCGAGACTAGTACTCTATTACTCGAGCCACAGCTATACCTACAGCTTTATTTATTTATTTTTTTGGTAGTTAATTAGAGATAAGAGTTTCATACTTTCCTGCCCAAAATGCCTTTGAACTGTAATCCTCAGATCTCAGCCTCCTGAGTAGCTAAGATTACAGGTGGGAAGCACCTGCACCTGACCAGTACAGCTGTTTTTCGGCTAGAGAGCCATTAAGATTTGTCTACCCTGTGGGCTGGGAAGGTGGCTCAGTGGTAGAGTGCTTGCCTTGCATGCATGAGGCCCTGGGTTCGATTCCTCAGCACCACATAAGCAAAAAGAAAAAAGCCGGAAGTGGCGCTGTGGCTCAAGTGGTAGAGTGCTAGCCTTGAGCTGAAGAGCTGAGGGACAGAGCCTAGGCCCAGAGTTCAAGTCCCACGACCGGGCCCAAAAAAAAAAAAGATTTGTCTACCCAGACTGCTTTTGAACTGTGATCCTCAGATCTCAGTCTCCTGAGTAGCTAGGATGACAGAACTAAGCCATAGACACTTAGCTTGTAGAATGACTTCTAAAGCACATACCCATTTTGTTTTCTTTTGTCTTTTCTTTTCTGTTCTTTTCTTTTTTTCATTTTTGCCAACCCTGAGGTTTGAGCTTCTTCTGCTCAAGGTTGGAGCTCTACCACTTGAGCCACAGGGACAGTTCCAGCTTTTTCTTAGTAGTTTATTGGAGATGAGAGACTCACGGATTTTCCTGCCTGGGCTGGCTTTGAACCGTGATTCTCAGATCTCAGCCTTCTGAGTAGCTAGAATTATAGGAGTGAGCCGGCCCCATTTTGCCTTATAGGCCCCACTTTATTTTATAGATTTTTCTTCTTCTACTAGACTTACGCTCCTAATAGGAAGGAGAACCACTGATTTGTGTACATGCTACAGGACCTACTACACTACTTTGCACAGAACAGGTCTGCAATAAATGTGCTAAGTAAATCAACATAGCTTTTGTTCTAATACAGTCCGAAGTACCAGTCCACTGTAGCAAAAAAGTTTGCTTTACACAAACACACAAAGACAGATAGCAGAAAGTTCACAGTACAACAAGAAGACTCCACATTCCTTCTCAAGGATTTCATCTTCACAGAAATGTTTGCTAAGGAGACCCCCAGGCAGAGAGAGCACATACCTGACATATAGTGAAATGGGCACGACGGTGTTGAGGATGATGATGTAGGACCAGAAGGAGAGGAAGCCAGAGAAAAAGGCACTGTCCACTGCCTCATCCCAGGGCAGGTAGACCTGGAAGCGCATCCCAACCTCATGTTCCCAGATGGCATTGCCAATGGCCAGGATCACCCCCATACAGACCAGGAATCCAAAAATCTGAGGAAGAATAAGAAGCAGAGGCTAGATAGAGGAAGCCTTCAAAACCAGACTCATCAAGGAAAGCACTAGTGGTATTGGGAATCTTTAAAAGATCAGGCATCTAGGGAAATGGATGGAGCTAGAAGGAATCATGTTGAGCGAGGTAAGCCAAGAATGAAGAGACAAACGGTACATGGTCTCCCTGATAAGTGGATGCTAAATCCAAAAGGTTAGGTGATACGACAAAACTAACAGGACTTAAGAAACAAAGAACTCCCGCTCATCTGGTTGAACCACTACTAAATATCCCCATGCTGCTGATCACAAATATGGTATATAACATGTGAACACTGTTATATATTACAGACTGTGGTAGACAACTTGCTCCAGGGAAGTTAGAATGAACTTGTGACTTTGAAATTATGTAATCATTTAATCACAATCAAAAAAAAAAAAAAAAGAACCTCGGGGAAGGGAGGGAGGGAGGGAGGGAGGGGATGGTAGGGGGAAAACAATGGAGGGGGTAACAATGTTCAAGAGGAAGTGTACTCATTACCTCACTCATGTAACTGTAACCCTCTGTATAGTAGCTTTACAATAAAAAAAAAAAAAAGATCAGGCATCTGTGAACTTGGTAGAGCAAACTTGCTCTACTAGGAAGTGATCAGTACTGGCGACAGCTTCTCTTCATGTGCTAATGATTCTCGCTAAACATTTTCTCATCTGTGTAATGAGAAATCTGGAAGAGTTCTATATCTCTCAATCTGGAACCCTCAACAGTCTACAAGGGCAAGATCTATTTCCCACACATCAGAAAACCTTGCCCATTTACCTAAGTTAAGCTTCCAGAAGCCAATAAAAATAAGCCATCATACTGTAATGTCTTTATTCAGTTTTTTTTTGGGGGGGGGGGAGGTGTTGGTTCTGGGGCTTGAACTCAGGGACTGGGCACTGTCCCTGAGCAATTTTGCTCAAGGCTTATGTTCTACTACTTTGAGCCACAGCTCCACTTCTGATTTTCCAGTGATTAACTGGAGATGAGTCTCACCGACTTTCCTGCCCAGACTGGCTTCAAACTGCAATCATTAGATCTCAGCCTCCTGAGTAGCTAGGATTACAGGCCTGAGTCACTATCACCCAGAATCAGAGTGCCATTTTCTTTTTCCCTTTTTTTTTTTGGTCAGTGGCAAGGCCTGAACTTGGGGCCTGGTCACTGTCCTTGAATTCTTTGCTCAAGGTTAGCACTCTACCACTTTGAGTGACAGCTCCACTTCTGGCTTTTGAGTAGTAAATTGGAGGTAAGAATTTCACAGGGGCTTTTTGTCCAGGTTGACTTCATACCACAGGTTGACTTCATACCACAATCCTCAAATCTCAGCCTCCTGAGTAGCTCAGATTACAGGCGTGAGGCACCAGCACCTGGCCAGATTGCTAACTGTATTTCCATAAATACAGATTTCTTGATTAGTCAGAAAAAAAAAAAAAAAAGCTTGGGCCAGGCATGGCGGCACTTGCCTGTAATCCCAAAATTTAAGAGGCTAAAACAGGAGGAGCTCAAGCTCCAGGCCAGCTGCAGTGTCTATGGGACAAGACCCTCCTGCAAAACAAAGAAAAGAGGGGCTGGGAAGGTGGCTCAGTGGTAGAGCGCTTGCCTTGCATGCCTGAGGCCCTAGGTTCGATTCCTCAGCACCACATAAGCAAAAAGAAAAAAAAGCCGGAAGTGGCGCTGTGACTCAAGTGGTAGAGCGCTAGCCTTGAGCTGAAGAACAGCGCCCAGGCCCAGAGTTCAGGCCCCACGACTGGACCCAAAAAAAGAAAAAGAAAAAGAAAATAACTAAGACCACTGTCTAGGTTCAGACATCTATTCTAAAGTTACCTTTAAGCCAGGCACCAGTGGCTCACGCCTATAATCCTAGCTACTCATGAGGATGAGATCTGAGGATCATGGTTCAAAGCCAGCCTACCCTAGGCAGGAAAGTCTGTGAGAGTCTTACCTCCAATTAACCACCAGAGAGGGCTGGGAATGTGGCTTAGTGGTAGAGTACTTACCTAGCATGCATGAAGCCCTGGGTTCATTCCTCAATATCACGTAAGTAGAAAAAGCACGAAGTGGTAGACTGGCACAAGTGGTTAAGTGCTAGCCTTGAGCAGTGCCCAGACCCCGAGTTCAAGCCCCAGGACTGGTTAAAAAGAAAATCAAAATTAATACTACAAATTGGAAGTGGCTCTGTGGCCCAAAGTGGTAAGAGTGCTAGTCTTGAGCAAAAAGAGCTCAGAGGCCCCAAGTTCAAGCCTCACGTCCAACAAAAAAACAGTAAAATTAAAATAAAGTTGCCTTTGCTGTAGAGACTTCAACAAGCAGGGTGCCCAATAACCACAAGGGGGCTGGGTGAGCCTTTACAAGACAGACCTAACTGCTATTGCTCCCTCAGACTGGGTTTCTGCAAACACTTTAAAGCCAGGGTGGAAACTGCCTCAGCAATGGCTGGCCCCAGTCTTAGTAAACTGGCATGTAGAGGGGGCAAGCAGTAGGCAGGAGGGGCACAGGAAGGGGAAAGAAAGTCTAACAAGGAGCTCCAATTTCTAGTCAAACAAAAGGAGGATTGAGGAATTGCCAAAAATGTAAACAGAAACTTTCCCTTTGGGAACCTTCATCCTTGGAAGCTGGGGGTAAAAGACCCTGCTAACTATCTTCCACATGGAAATTTTTCTTTGAATTCCCTCTCCATCTCTATGAAGGCCTCCTTGTCCCTGGCAAAGGCAAACAGAAGGTCACGTGATTTACTAAGTCATCATCTTAACGGGAACCTGCAGAAAGGATGATTTGTTTCAGTTTTCTTTGAGCTGTTGATTTACACACATTCATAAGGTGTGTGTGTGTGTGTATGTGTGTGTGTGCGTGTGTTAAATAACATCTTCTAAGTCTATAAGGAGCCTGAAATAAATGCTGCCTTTGAGTAGCTTCTTTTGAGTAGCCAGCAGTTTAAAAGCCAAACCTGAAGCCTGATTATTGAGCAGGAAAGAGTAATGGGAGCAAAGGGAATCACTGAGGGAAGGGGCAGGGAAAAGGACATGGGAAACTTACCCAGAGCACCAGTGTATTCATCAGGCGATCAATACTTGTCCTCTTGAACTTTGTCCTGCCACTGTTCTGCATCAGCTTGGTGTCAGGACCTAGAAAAGATTGGGAAGTCAAATACCAAATCTGCCTATTATCTTCTGCTCTCATCTCATACTGCAGGAAAGCAGGGTAGAATGGAGACAGTAGGTGAACAAGAGGCTGCATTCCAAGCTGAAGATTTTTTACCTCACCTAGTCTATCAGCCCAAACTTCTATTACCCTTCTTTCACTGGCTGCTTAGCAGCTCACCTGCAAAGATGACTAGCCCGAAGCACCACTCGGTGTTTCGCAGCACACAGCCCCGCAGCAGCATGTTCTGGTTACTCAGGGGAAATTTGTTGTCTTTCCAGTAGAGGGTTCCGCTGAATTTGTCCAGCTTGTTGTTGGGCGGTTCACAGATTACTTCACCTGAATGGGAGATGGAGTACCACTACTCAAGGTCTCAAAATCTAATCAACAGCTTAATGGTTGACATAAGACTATAAAACATAAGTAGCAGCTCGAGAGAGTGGGCAAAAATAGGAAGTAGGGCTGGGTGCTGGTGGCTCAGGGTGCTGGTGGCTCACACCTGTAATCCTAGCTACTGAGGAGGCTGAAATCTGAGGATCATGGTTCAAAGCCAGCCTGAGAGGAAAGTCCGTGAGACTCTTATCTCCAATAAACCACTCGAAAACCGGAAATGGCACTGTGGCTCAAATGGTAAAGTACTAGCCTTGAGCTGAAGAGCTGAGGGACAGCGCCCAAGCCCAGAGTTGGAGCCCCAAGACTGAACAAAAAAACAAAAAAGAAGTAGGGTAACTATTCACTTAAAGGATCTGGCAGAGCTGGGCGAGGTGGCTCACATCTGTAATCCTAGCTACTCAGGAAGCTGAGATCTGAGGATCACAGTTCAAACCCAGGCTGGGCAGGAAAGTCCATGAATAAACTACTCCAATAAACCACTAGAAAACCGGAAGTAGCATTGTGGCTCAAGCGGTATTAAGCGCAGGGACAACGCCCAAGCCCAGAGTTCAAGCCCCATGACCAACCAAAAAAAAAAAAAAAAGGATCAGGCAGCACTTGGAGGCTGAGGTATAAGAATCAAGAGTTTTTAGGCCAGGATGGGCTAAAGAGATCTTATATCAAAAAATAAAACGGAGGCTGGGAAGGTGACTCAGTGTAGAGTGCTTGCCTTGCATTCATGAGGCCCTGGGTTCAATTCCTCAGTACCACATAAGCAGAAAAAGCCAGAAGTGGCCCTTTGGCTCAAGTGATAGGGTGCTAGCCTTGAGCTGAAGACCTGAGGGACAGAGCCCAGGCCCAGAGTTCAGGCCCCACAACCAAACAAAACAAAACGAAAAATAAAACGGGCCAGATGCTGATGACTCACGCCTATGATTCTAGCTACTCAAGAGACTAAGATCTGAAGATCATGGTTTGAAGCCAGTCCAGTAAAGAAAGTCCCTGAGACTTGGCTGGGAATGTGACTTAGTGATAGAGTGCTTGCCTAGCATGCATGAAACCCTGAGTTCAATTCCTCAGTACCACCTAAACAGAAAAAGTTGGAAGTGGCACTGTGGCTCAAGTGGTAGAGTGCTAGCCATGAGCACAGAGAGGCTCTGGAACACAGCCCAGTCCCTGAGTTAAAACCCCAGGACCAGCAAAAAAAAAAGAAAGAGAGAGAGGGAGGAGGGAGGGAGGGAGGAAGGGAGGGAAGGAGGGAAGAAGGGAAGAAGCGAAGGAAGGAAGGAAGGAAGGAAGGAAAGAAGGAAGGAAGGAAGGAAGGAAGGAAGGAAGGAAGGAAATCCCTGAGACTCTTATCTTCAATTAACCATCAAAAAACCAGAAGTAGAACTGTGGCTCAAAGTGGTAGAGCGGTAACCTGGAGCACAAAAGCTCAGACATAGTGCCCAAGCCCTGAGTTTAAGCCCTGAGACTCCCCCCACCCCCCCTAAAAGAAGATATTTAAGATACATTTGATAGTTGTTGGTTTTTTTAAGTGTAACCTAGAGACATTGGTAGATCAGAATCACACTTACCTATGTTTATACATGTATAGAAAAATATGTAGCTACCTACAGAGGGTAAAATCAGAGCATGGAAGGGACTGTTAATTTTTCTTCTACACTTCGTATCATATCTATTATAGAGACCATATCATTATTCTGAGCTAACAAGCAAAAAGGATAAGCTGAGTTTCTCTCAGCATGCCCAGCAAGCAGGGAGCTGTCAGCCACAAAGCTCCTGATTGCTGAATGACTGTCAGGTCAAAAGTGAGTGGTAGGCCCCTGGCATTCCCAATATGTCCCTCCCAAAAGAAGGCAGGGACGGCTGGGAATGTGGCTTATTGGTAGAGTGCTTGCCTAGCATGCATGAAGCCCTGGATTCGATTCCTCAGTACCACATAAACAGGAAAAGCTCAAGTGGTAGAGTGCTAGCCTTGAGCTCAGGGACAATGCCCAGACCCTGAGTTGTTCAAGCCTTGAGACTAGCAAAAAAAACAAAAACAAAAACAAAAAAAACCGCAGGGAGCTATATAATCATAGCAACCAGTAGTTAAAAGCAAAGTGTCCAATGTGAATACCAAAACCCAACCCATCTCTTCTACCTGAAGACTGCTTCTCCAACATTACTCACCATCAAATTTGGCAAGCTTACTGATGTCTCCCAGTTCCGAGGTGATGGGAATCGCCTGGCGTACTTTCATGTTGGTCTCTCTGGAAGAAAAGATCTCCTGAGGCCTAGCTCCCTGCCAGTCTTCTAGATTCTATCTGGGGGGCACCTGATCATCACGGCTTAACCCAGCAAATAATTTTGTGAACCCAAGGCCTTTCTTACCCTTAAATTTTCTAAAAAGAATTATTTACCTTCAGGAGGCAAAGAGGGCTGATACTTACCCATCGAGTTCTGCTGTTTCTATGTAACACAGCCCATGGGGCTCACTACTGGAAAGGAGGAGAAGATCCGCCTAGAGAGAAAATCTAATGAGAACTACAAATACCCAAACCTCCACCCTCACTGGGAGGTGACTATTCCTCTACTAAGCATCGTTTGTTTAGTTCCAAGTGCATGAAAAGTTGGTCTCAGGAATTTTAACAACATAAGACATTCCATCCAAGAAAATCTCCTTTCAGGGGTGTTTAAGAAGCAACAGGAAGTCAGGAAGGACTCATTATTTCCTACCCCAAAAGAAAGAACCCAGCAGACTCAAGGGGTACCTTGACCCTTACCGCTACAAATTGGTTATTTTCTAGCTTGATGATATCACCAACACAGACATTCATCCACTGCTCTTGCTGGAGACTGTGGCAACAAGAAGACAGTAAAGAGGCTGACAGTAGCTATACACGTTCCCAGGAGACCTCCTTCCTCCCTAGAGCCCTTATCTCCCACTGGTACTCACATTCCATTGATCAGCACCTGAGACTGACGGTTATTCACCTGGTTATCACTCTTGTGGCGGAACTAAAAGAAGAGAATAAGAAAGGTAATACCTTCTCTTGCTCTAAGAGGAATGGACCATCAGTGGAATGCTGAGTTGCTGGGTCAGCCTTATATATACTTGTATACTAGTTCAACCAACTCTTGCCTTGACTCCTCCTTCCCACCTCAGATACACATCTAGCTGGAGCAGCGAAGGAAGGTCAAGGGCACCATGGAATTGTGCTCGATGAAGGTGGCCTATGAGCTGGGAGGTAGAGGTGGAAGAGAAGGAAAGGTGAATGGGGACAAGCAGAAGAATAAAAACAACTCACGTAGTCATCAGTGGCATCTTTAACAGCTGTAATGGTAAGGACAAGAACCAAAGGCACAATGGTGGTGAACCAGGACAGGGAAGAGATCTGTGGGATCAACTGAAATGAGAAAAGAGGAACATGCTTCAGGCTTCAGCTAATCTTCTTCTGCCCTGAAACCTTCCTCTTCTTTGGCTTTATGAATCCCAAAAGGATCACTACAGATCACTCACCTGTAGAATGAGAAGGAACAGGAAGTAAGTGTTGGCAACTTCCTGAAACTGCTCAAAGAGGTTGACAGGCAGGAAGGTGAGAATGTTGTACTTCGAAGTCTTGATGCAGTTACTCTATGGCCACAGAAGGATAATAATTAGAAAGTGACCAACCACCATTGTTCTACTTCCCAAACCTCTGCCCCAAAAGCCAGCAACTGTAAGTGTGAAATGGGGACAAAGGAAGAGAAAAAATCCACATATTTCACTTCCCCAGCAGAAGGCCTAGACAGTCGGCACAATAGCGGACAGAGTAGCTGAGGAAGTTGCCTTTGTCTCCTGACATGCCCTTCCCTCTCAGCTTCAGATGTTTCTATACTGTTCCCCTCTCCCATTCAGGAAGAGGAAATCAGTTCACTAGTGTCACTTACCGCATACTGGAATTTCTCGTTATATTCTCGGTCATTAGCCCGTGCCCTCCTTTCTTCTTCTGTAACAGAAGGATGCTATAGTCAGAAGAGAACAAACCAAGACCCACACCTTGTTAGGCCTACCCAACATCTGTAGGAGTTCCACTAAGGGCCCGTTTCTTTCCACAGAATACAGCTTCATGAAATTAGCGCCATGCCTGGGGAGTCATTAAATTCTTTCCCCTTCTCTCACTGATGGCCTAAGCAGTGGCTTTAAAGGGCTATAAACATTCTTCTTTTCTCTATTCTTATTTTTTGGGGGGGGGGAGTCAGTCGTGGGTCTTGAACTCTGGGCCTGGGCACTGTCCCTAAACTCTTCAGTTCAAGGCTAGTGCCCTACCACTTGAGCCATAGCGCCACTTTGTTTTTCTGGTGGGTTTTTTTTTGGGGGGGGGTCAGTCATGGGGCCTGAACTCTGGGTCCGGACGCTGTCCCTCAGCAATTTAGCTCAAGGCTAGCACTCTACCACTTGAGCCACAGCGCCACTTCTGGCTTTTTCCGCTGATGTGGTGCTGAGGAATCGAACCCAGGGCCTCATGGATACAAAGCAAGCACTCTACCACTAAGCCACCTTCCCAGCCCCTCTGGTGGTTAATAGGAGATAAGAGTCTTACAGACGTTCCTGCCTGGGCTGGCTTTGAACCAAGATCCTTAGATCTCAGTTTCCTGATGGTGTGAGCCATGGGCTTCCAGCTCTCTATTCTTTTTTTAACAAGACAGGAATTCACCATGTAGCCCAGACAGGCCTCAAATTCTTGAGCCTCCTGCCTCAGCCTCTTGAGTGCTGGGATCACAAGCATATACTGCCAGTACAAGTTACACTCACAGACAAGGCTATGTTCTTTTCCCCACCACTAACTGTGAGGTCTTCTACCAGGTGCTCAGTGACTTCTCCAATCACTCTTTAGCCATTATCAGTCACGGGAATCCCCGGACCCTTTGCTACTATTATCAATGCATCCACCATCATTAACAGGATAGTAGCTGAGGGCTGGGAAGGTGGTTCAGTGGTAGAGCGCTTGCCTTGCATGCATGAGGCCCTGGGTTCGATTCCTCAGTACCACAAACAAAAAGAAAAAAGCTGGAAGTGGCGCTGTGGCTCAAGTGGTAGAGCGCTAGCCTTGAGCTGAAGAGCTAAGGGACAGCGCCCAGGCCCAGAGTTCAGGCCCCACAACCGGATCCCCCCCCAATAAAAAAAAAAAAAACAGGATAGTAGCTGAAGGCACAGTGCACCCTTTCCTCCTGAGAACTAATGCATGCCCCCTAATCTGGGCAGGAGAAGAATCAGTCACAAGACATGGGGTCACAGTGCCCTGGAGCTGCTCTGCGGCAGCACCCCAACCCCACGTGCAGTCCCCTACAGGAGTGTCTGCTTGTCACATGTAGTCAGCAGCAGCTTCTGACTGGCCAGCAATGACATCACCTTATAGCAAAGCTTATCTTCAAGTAGGAGGTGGGGGTGGGGTGGTATCAGGGATATGGAACTTGCAGACTGAGACATGGAGGAAGAGGGGAAGGAGATGCAACGGAAACCCCTCTCTCTACTGTAATCTTTCTTGGACCCTATACACATTTCACTGAAACCACTCGGTTGTCACTAGGTTAGTAACACCTCTCTAGCCCTACTATCCTGAACCGCTGCAGCTACCAGACTGCAGACGCCAAGTTCAAGTTCCAGAACAAGGAGAGCTCCCATCCCATTGCATGCTTCTATGAAGTTACCATCCCATCTCCCAGGGGTCGATATGATCTTAGGCTATAATAACTTGGTTAGGCAGTAAACCTAATGCCTTAAAACTGCCTGGAAGCCAACAGGCTGGGCTCCTAAAACCCTTGCAGAGCCTGAAGAGCAAACTGCAGCAACAAAACCCCAAGCTGGAGTCCCCAGACAGCTGAGCCACTTTACTCCTAATAGCTTCCCCAGGGGGGTCTCCTTCTGCTGAGACCTAGCACCATCACCACAGTGCATACAAAAAAAGTGCAAAGGCAGGATCTTTGGGTCTGGAAAGAGGAAGGGAGAGGAGGTTGGGGGAGGCCGAGGACGAGAGAATGTGGGGACTGCGGGGGAAGGAGGCAGATTATGGGTTCGGGAGAGCTACCAGGCATTGACTCCTGTTACCTGTCCCCCAAGAGGGCTTCTTTCGGCTCCAAGACGGAGGTGCCCCGGCCCGGGCCCACTTCTCAGGCATCTCCTTGGGGACCGTCATGACCCCGGTTTAAGTTGGGGAAGGCGCACAGTCTGTCCTTGGCCTCAGAGGTGCCAACAGGGTGGCCCCCCAGGGAAGTGCAAGGGCTGCGGCAGCTCACAGGAGAGCCGCGGACAGCCGGTGCGCACACTGCCCGCAGCCCAGGCCATCCTCACAGCCGCCGGCGGCGAGCGAGCGGGGACCCCTTCGTCCCCAACTCGGGCTCCGCTGCGCCACCGCCGCCGCTCCGGAGGCCCCCCGCGGAGGCCAGCCTGCGCTGACTGGTCCAGGCTTCGGTGCCCACGCCCCGGGCTCCGCCTCCGCCAGCTCCCCCCACTGCAGGGGCAGCAGCCTGCCAGCGCCGCGTAGGCGAAAGCCAGCACGCAGGCCCCGCCTCTCCGCTCCCCACCCCCGGCCAATGCGGGTGAACTGACGGCCCGAGACAACCACTCTCAACTCCCACCTCCACCTCCACCCCACCCCTACCTGCAGGAAACTAGGAGGTCCCAGCATGGGAGAGTGAGGGGAGAGCAGGGACTTCCCAAACCAGAGCTGAGGAATGCAGGCTGCCCCTGACAAGATTACAGGTGTTTCCCGGTGAGGGAGCTGGTGCTCAGCACCAGCTCAGAAGATAAAACTAGCTAAAGGATCAAAAGGACAAACTCCGTTTCCTAGCCAGCATGTGTTAGGGTTTTGATCTCCACACATACACCTCTTTCCCAGGCCCCTTTCACTTGTCCCTTTTCCCTTGGCTCCCAAAACCGTAATGACACCTGCTTTTGATAGTCTCGAGGATCCACAGTCCTGGACTTTCTTACCTGGGGGGCGCTTTTTTGCACACAGTGCCATCTCACCCAGCAAGGTCCCAGCAATCCCATGGGAGACCCTGCAGGAAGGTGACAGAAGCCAATGGTCAGGAAACTGAGGAGAACCCTTCAATCCCTTCATCAGATCGCTGGTGAAGATTCTCTCCTCTGGCTCTGACCCCTGCTAACTCCCACACTCTCCTCTTCCTGGCCCAATGATGTTGGAAAAGGGTGCCTTAGATAACATGAGAGGGAAGTTGAGAGTTCAAAAGAGGCCAAGGCCAGCAGAGAAAGAGTTCCAATGACAAGAGGGACACAGCTCTCAAGGTAACCATCCCAGAAACAAGCATTGCTCCATCTGCCTTCCTAGTAGCAAGGTGTGGTTACTCCTGACCAAGACTGCTGTCTGTACTAGAAAGCAAGAGTCCCCCCCAAGGGCAGGGCGGAGGGAATACAACTCAGGAAACACCTGGCAGTATCAGGAAATGGGGTGGGCAGGCTCCACCCATCTCAAACTGCTCCTAATTCCCCCTCCCACAACCCCTAAGAGCTTCCATTACCACCTCCTCCACACAGAAGCCCAACACATTAAATAGTATGGCCTTCACTTCCTGCACAGACAGTCCCCAAACCACTTCCTCTCAATCTGGGCAGCCGCCCTTCGTGAGCCAGGAGAGAGGGGTCTTCCTGACCCTATCTGGGAGTTACACCTTCTTTCCCAGCTTAAGCCTAGACAAGTCGATATGGCACTGGATACAGAATCAGAGACCATCCATCAAAGGGCCTCTGCTTCTTTCCACCTTCTTTCCCAATGTCATATCTTTCTCAAAAAAAAAAAAAAAAAGAGGGGAGGGGGAGGAGAATAAAAAGTCTGACCTAGGAAGCAAGCCTCTATCCTGTTTCCCAGCCTGGCCTAAAGGAAACTGCCAGAGAGAGGGTCACCTCTTCTACCTTTGGGTGGAAAGGCTTTCCACCTCCTCCTTGGTTCCCCTCTCTCCAGCCTCTGTTAGCCCCAAGAGATACTAATTGCCTGTCTGCTCGAAGTCTGTAATTACAGAGACTGGGCCCACAACCCAGTCACCCATGCCAATTCTCCCTTCACTAACAGTCTCCTTCCCTGACCTAAAGTCCTCAGAGTAATAGTCCTTTTTTCATCCCTGACCCTCCTCAGCTGTGGCAAGCAGGGGTGCCTGGCTCAGGATGGAAAAACCTCATGCACATTTTAGAGATGCCAAGCCCTCCTCCAGGGCCCCCAGCCAGGGTCTCCACCCAGTCTAGAGCGTGAGTCATGGGAGGGTGGGGTGTGGAGGGAGAGGTTAAAGAAGATGCAGGGTGGGCATACAGCAAATTCAGTAGCTAGACCCACCCTGGGGAGGGGTACCAAGAAGCAGGGGCCAACCCAAAGATCTGGGTCTGTGTCTACGGAAGAGTTAATGGAGAGCAAGACCAACCCTCAGGAGCCAGGCATCTGGACACAGAGCAGCAAAGTTGTTTTACCCCCTGAGACCCTGAGGAGAGGAAAACAGGCTTGGGGGGCAAGCAACCGGGCCAAGGAGAAGAGCGGGCAGTTGGGACCAGGTCTCCTTCCTGGTCTCAAATAGCTTAGGGTTTTCTAAACAGGTCAGGCCCATCAGCCACGTCGCCCTGCCCCATCACCCCACCCCAGCCCCCTCCACAGAGCCACATCTGGGATAAAAATAGCCAGCCCTGGGAAGGAGGCAGTGTTCCACGAAGAAAAACGCCTCCAGCTCTAGGGCTGGCCCGTGCTCCCCTCCACAAAGCCTCGTCTCCGGGGAGGCTGCCAGCTCAAGGAGAAAGAGCCCCCAGACCCTCGGGGCTCCCCGGCCGCCAACGCCACCCCACGCCACCTTTCGGCCCCCAAGACGGGACCCAGCCCGGACCCTGCCCGGCCCTGCGCTCCCTCCACGAGGCACCTGAAGTCGGGGGGCTGGGCTCCCCGTCCCCTTCACAACTCTCGGGGTGGGGGGACCCCCCACGCTTGTGCCCGGCACTCCGCACCCCCGTCCCGCTCTCCACGCACCCCAGCCGGCGGACAGTCACGGGGACTCCCCGGCCTCAGACACCGCCCCCCCTCCCGCTCCTCTCGGCCCGGGGTGCGGCCGCCTCTCCCGGTGCGCCCGGGCCCCGCGCCCGGTCCCCGCCTCGCCCCGCCGCGCCGCGCCTCACCTCACCTCAGCGCTCGGCGCTCAGCGCCCGCCGCGGCCGCCCCGTCCGGCCCATGCCGGGGGCTGGGGCGGGGGGCGCTGGGCTCGGCTCCCCGCGGGCTCCCGCCCCCCCCAGCTGCGGCCCCGCTCCCCCCGGGGGCCTCGGCCCGCTACTTTGTGTCAGTTTCGGCCACCGCGGGGCGGAAGTGACGGCGGAGGCGGCCGAGGGCGGGGGGCGGGAGGGGCTTTGGGGAGGGCGGCGGGGCGGGCGCGCCGCCATCTTTGTGCGGGGCAAGTGGAGGGGGGGTGGGCGGGGGTCTTAGCCCCACCCCCGAGCTTCCGCTCCGCAACACCAGCACGCGAGCGCCCGGGGCGCGACAGAACGCAGAGGTTTGGGATGCTTTAATCTGGAAGGAAAGGGAAGCGGGGACCCTGGGCGCCGCGCCGGCCTCTCCGCACCGCGAGCATCTTCTCCAACAGCCCGGGCCTCCGCCCTCCGCCCTCGGTGCCGCAGCCTCCTCTTCTCTCCCCGCCTCATTTCAGGACCTTTCCCCCTCTCCCGCCCCAGGTTGGCTGTGGTGCCTCAGTTTCTCCGCCGGGTCCTCCCAGCCTGCGGGCACTGGCGGGGCGGCGCTCGGCAGCCTCCCTGGGAGGAGGCAGGTGGGGGGTGGAGGGCTTTTTGGTTATTGTTTTTCCGCCTGGGGGCGGCAGCCTGAGGGGAGGCGATCTGAGAGGGCCGAAGCAGGAGGCGTTGAGGTCGTAGGAGCTGAGGCCGGGCCTTGGGGACCCAGCTTGAGAGGTCCCCAAGGCCGAGCTCCTCCCCCCCCCCCCGCCCCCCGCCGCCATTGGATTTATTGGCCAGCGGCTCCGTCCCTCAGATTCCCACGGCCTTAGCAGACCTTCGGCCGGCGTGCGCGCCCTCTGGCGGCTGCTCTGAGCACCTGCATTCCCAGAGGTCCGGCGGGTCTGGGTGGGAGTAATCCCATCCTGCCCACAACTCCGTTTCTCCACCTGTGCGGGCAGTGCGGTTCCAGAGGAAGGAGTGAGTAAACAGAAAGCTTTCCCCTGGGTCTAGATTATTAATTAAGATAAAGAAGGTCGGGGGCTGGGAAGGTGGCTCAGTGGTAGAGTGGTTCGATTCCTCAGCACCACATAAACAGAAAAGGCCGGAGGTGGCGCTGTGGCTCAAGTAGAAGAGCGCTAGCCTTGAGCTGAAGAGCTTGAGGGACAGCTGAGTTCATGCCCACGACCGACCAAAAAAGAAAAAGGATGAAGAATGTGTTATTTGCAAGCTGGCAGGATCGTGGTTCTCTTGACATCCTGGAGTGAATCCTGTGAGAATCACAGCTTACTCTCCGTTGTCTTAGCTGAGGCAGGAGTTTCCAAATCCGAGGTTTCCTGAACTGACTCTGAGTCCACAGGATGGTGCAGAGCCACCATCAGCTGGTACGTGGCTGTGCCCAGGGTGGCCCCCACTAGAGGAGCCACTACCGGCACCCACCACCAGCCATTACCAGCACTGTAAGGGAAGAACAAAAGGAGACATCAAAGGTTCACTGTTTTAGCTTTCCCTCTCCCCAGGGACTGGGGGGACAGTAATAAGAGAACTCCTTTCAAATAGTCCCTGGAATGACCAACACCAGGATATTTTCACAACAATACATTGCACTTGGAGAGGAGGGAACCCCTTCTAAGAGGAAGAAATTGATGTGCCAGAACACAACCCTCAAACCTTACTATTTCAGTGAAAAGTGGGGAGGGGAACTAGGAAGGAAGGGTGAATGTGAGGCTTGGAGAACACTGTCCGAAGAGGCCAGGAGAACTGTCTAGAAGAGAACTGGTGAAACAGCCATTATCAAAGAGAGGGAGTGGAAGACCACACCAGAGAAAGCTGACTCCCACCTGAAGACCTCAGGGCCCCAGCCGGCCACATAGGTGAAGAGCCGTGGACCCAGATCCCGAGCAGGGTTGAGTGGAAACCCACAGTTGACACCCATGGATAGTCCAATGGTCAGGATCAGCAGCCCCACCACCACAGGCTCCAGACCCGCAGGTACACCCTTGTTCCGTCTGTCCAGGATTGCTAAGAGCCCCACAATCAGCATCGCAGTGCCCAGAACCTTCGAGTAAACAGAAGTCAAAAAAGGGGAC